CAATTCAATTCCATGTTGGGGATCCTAATGGTCCACATCTTCAGAACAAAAGCCCATCTATCTCTCTCTCTCTCTCTCTCTCTGGAGGTTAATCAAGAAATTCAGTTACTATATATCTGGTACACATAAAGCTATAGCCAGCACTCAGTTAGCTTAGCTTAAGATGAAGAAAAGAAAAAAGGGGAAACAGCTAACCTGGCTACGACCAGAGACACCATGTCCTCCAAAACTCAATAATTAACACATCATATCTGATATTAATCTATTCAAAAACATAAAAAGTGTCAGGTTCACATTTTTAACGGACTATTTGCCAACCCCAGCAAAAAAGGTTTGTAAAAAACATCCCCTCTGCAGAGCGTTTGACCTAGTATCCACACACACCCAAGATCACCTCCTATCCTAGCTGCCCCCCCACCCCCATCCGAAAGGCTTGTCAGCGTGCAGCCCCACCACATTGCTCCAGGCCATGTCATATATGAATTATTTAAAAACAGTAGTATGGCACATGAAATTAATATTCTGATATTTTCCATTTTCTTCCGTCAGCTCTCTCGCTCGCTGCAATGTGTTATTGTTGTAACGATCTGTATTCCTGTGGCACGAGGTTGATCAGGGCTGGTGCCCACTGACGCAACGTGTCAGGCATGTTGAGCGGAGTTACACTGGGCCGCTCTGTTTTTCCTTACTCCCACACTGGTTAGCTGGCAGGTGATGTATCTCTCTTTCCTCTGCACATTGCTTGCACTTGCCTAAACTTGTTCCCACTCACTGTAACGTGTTTTTTTTGTCATTACTCAGTAAAAATTTGGAATTTGGAGGTATCATTTTTTTAAAGACGTTCCAACCGGTTGGGTCATTTGATATTTACATTGCACGCTTGAAACCCATTAAACGTTTAAAGCAAGACGCTGCTCAGCGGTGAGCACAGTTCACTGACTCAATAAATTATGGATCGAAAAAGCATCTCTTGGAATTTCACCTGCTGTATTGCAGTGAGAGCAGTGTGCCCTTTGAATTTCCAACAGAACGGCTCCCCCTAGTGCCAAAGACAGCCACGAGCCACAGATGCTCCTTAATACAATACTTTCAGTGTCTGACTTCATTAAAATCTTTTCAGCTTTTTTTTCTTATCACTGACTAAATCACAGCATCTGATTTTACTATATTGCTCAAACCCAAAGGTTAACAAATTAAATGTGGGGGCCACAAATTGAGGAATCTCTCTTATTATTTATCACATATTCTACCATATAGGCTAAATATGTTTTTATATTATATATTTGTTGTTGTGTCCACCTAACGAAGCCCAGCTTCACATAATGCATGATTCAAGCTCACAGAGCAGCAGGCCATGCATTGTGTCCTGAGGGCTACATACAGCCTCTACTAGAATCGTGTACAGTCGTACGGTTGGCCATCTGGAGGAAACAAAGTGTTAGTAACCTTAAATATTTAAGACAGAACATCACTCCATGCACAAAGGGAAGTGCAAAACAAAGTCATTGTGTACTTACTCTCTATTGTATGGCTATATTATCAATGCATTTAAAGTCACAGACAGTTAGTCTGCAAAGGAGGATGTTTCTCAGCAATGACACAAACATTTATTCCTTTAATTTACTCAAAATGCATGGTTGAGCAAAGCCTTCTTAAAGAAGGATTGTGTGGATGTTTCTGTGTATTGCTTTGATACATCCTGTGTCAAGGCCACTGCCTTCGGACCTGATTAAGTCATTCATTTAGTATCAATTCTTTTGCACATGGTATGTTGTTTGTGTGGAACTTTCTTGTTTGTCTGATGTTATCTTGGCAAGATGTGCAAAAAAATCTTATTTTGGCAGGACTATGTGGTTCAATAAAGATTGAAAAGATTGCTGAATGTTTTTTTTTTGAGTCCACCCACCCACGTTTTATTGGTTCTTGTGCATCAAGGCAGTTGCTTCTCCAAAGAAAATATGATCTAAACTGACAAGTACTCAATAGGAGTCTTAGTCTAACACGAATTATTAAATCAACTAGTCAATCTCTGGGTCTAGTTCGGCTGCGAATAGTAAAAAATGGAAATTCAGCTTGGAATTCTGCAAGCCAATATACTTAATTTTTGTTTGTCGGGTCTGGGCTGGCAAGAACAGTGTTGACAGTTGGGCCGTGGGAATGGCAGCATGGAGGCTACATCTGTGAGATTTTCCACTTGTGCAAAAAAAGAATGAATTATTTCTGTTCTGTCAAGCAAAATGCAGAGAGATGGCAATAACAAAAGCCAGAAAAGATAATTAACCGGAATGATTAAATCTCGGCTCTCTGTTTGGCCCAGTTTGATAAACATTTACTTGGACATTAGGCAGCAGGACGATTTAGTGGAAACTGTGCCACAGGTGCCATCCCATATTTGAACTCTGAGCTCTCTGCAGAGAGATGAAACTAAAAACAGAACCTATAGTGATAGAGAGAATAATGGGGACACTTAAAAACACTCTCTGACAAACAACTTAATAACTAGGGATTCCAAAACAGTGCCAAAAAGACTCAAATCCTGACCAGGGTACTCCATGGAGCGCAGACATTGGACATTGTTTTTTTCTTTCTTTTTTTTGTCCAGGAAGCGTATGAGTTGCTGATACCACATTCTTCCACTTTGAAATGTTCCAACTACCCATTTGGCTGGATTACGGAATGCACCAGTGATTATCATCAATGGCAGTTCCTGGCCTTACTTTCCGTGACACACTAATGATGGAAAATGAACAACTACTGTGTATCTTCTTCAATTAGTCTCTGTCTCTCTCTCTCTTAATAATTCGCATCTCATTAATGCACGTCACTAGATTCAGCTTCTTCCCCGGAGGTTTTGTGCTTTCTCGCCCGCAGGTTTGCGTGGACCGTTGTTTCCGTCTGGGCCCTGGTCCTGCCTGCTGCCTGGCTCTGCTGACAACTACTGCTGCTATCATTATCATTACTATTTTAAATATTAATTCCATTACTGTCATCATAAACCAAGTGTCATCATTCTCCCCAAGGTTTCTTCCCTTTTTTCCCTCATAAAAGGTTTTTCTTTTTACCTGTGCATATGTGAGGGTCGGTCGGTGGGTGATTCTCTCTTGCAATCCTATTTACTCCTTTCTTACTCCTTGCACCTCTAAAAATAAAGCAACAACACTGAAGCAGTGCTGGATTAAACCTCTTTTACAGCACTTTCATCTGAAATAAAGCAATATGAAACACCCTTGCACGGAGGAACAAATGTTAAAGGTTGCATTTACCTTCATTCCCACCCTGTAGATTTTTAGACAGTTCCAATCGATTGCTCCGCTCTGAAAAAAATAGATTGAATGCATCCTCATCCCAAATCCATCTCATTCGGGCAAATGACCTCAGAGCATAAGCCATGAAATGTTTTCAGATGGCACTGGACACTATATCCCTCTCCTGTGTACTTCTAACTGATTTGATTTGTATAACATGCTTGTATTTAGAAAAATACTATTAGGAAATGGGCTTTAAGTACATATTTGATAGTGAAAGAAATGTCAGTTGATGTTATTTTCTCATGTATTCCTCTTGTGTTGTCTACCTTATGCAACATAAAAGACTGTACATATTATGCAAAGCAAACAAACACATACAGTGCATTGTTTCTCAAATGACTGTCATCACAGGAGCTTATATTAACTCTAATATAAAAGTCTATAATGCAATTTATTTCTGTAGCAGAAGACTAATGATTGCGTCAGTCCTCTAATCACAGCATCCGTTGTAGATGCACACAACGGCACCAACTGCATCATAGGCCCCAATCATCACTGTGACGATTGCATTACAGAAGTAGATGATTGAATCACCTTCATAGTAGAGGAAAAGTATCACACAAGGCTATGAGTCGCAGCAGAGAGCCCTGCTGCAACCTACTCCATGCATATTTCATAGATTGTATTAAAGATCCCAACATGTAATTATGTCCAAGCAAAGCCTGACAAATAAAGGTAATAGACTGGCTTTCATATACAAAAGATCTTTAAAAAATGTAGCTGTATGCTTGAATATTATAAAAAGCCCCATTGATCAACATAAAATATACAAGTTGTAAGTTGTGCAATAGAAATAGTGCAAAGAAATAAATTCTTATTGAATAGACATTCGCTCTGTTATGTATTATTAATAAAGATGTCTTTACAATGCTTAAATGATAATCTATCATCTAATCATCGGCAGCAGTGGATATTTCGGCCTTAGTGTTGACTTAAGTGTTCATCAGTGCAATGACTAGCAGGAAAAAAGAATAATCTGTTGCAAACAAACTTATTTATAATATATATATTATTATATATACTATTTTTTTGTTACTATTATATAATATTTACTGAAGCAACTGAACAACTTTGTTGTATTTTCTGAACAACAATGTATTGTATCTGAGTATTGTAACTGAGATAGCTTACATAGTAATGGAGTAGGCCTCAGAAGTTGGCCTCGGAAATGTATCAAAAAAGAAAGTTACTGTTACTTTTTACCATTGATTACAGCCTGCAATTATAGCACAAAAGCTATTGTAACATCAGTTCGAGAGGCTGCACATCCCGACCACCACCACATTGTAATATATGATCCATCCATCCATCCAACCATCTGCAACCACTTATCCTTCACACAGGTGGGTGGGCAGGAGTCTATCCCTGCCAACTTCGGGACACCTTGGATTGGTCGCCACACATGAACAACCATTCACAGTCACATTCACACTCACATTCACACACCTACGGCCAATTTATAGTCACCAACCAACCGGATCCCCAGTGCATGTCCCCAAAAAATCTAATTTAGACAGCTTCATGCTACGACTAAAACCGTAATCAGATCCACACTTCACTAAGATAACCAAATGCGCATTGTGTCCACGTTTCTGTTACACGCATCACGTGCAACAATTCTATTCCCGGATTGGTCAGAGATGCCGGGGAAACCTCCTCGTGACATGTCAGCCGATATAAATACTTGGAGCCGCCCTCTTCGTACGCAGCCCTGTTTTATGAGGGAAAATGTATCGTCTCAGCCAGCAGTTTATCTCCGAGATCGCCTTCAATTCCTTTCTATCCGCCGTGCCACGGGAATATTTACATTTTACGAGACAACATAGTAAAAGCTGGTCGTGTATTGGCTGATTATTGATCAAACTTAACATTTATCTGCATGAAAATGCCGAGAACCAAGAAGAAGAATGGCCGGGGTAAGTAAGCGAGCGGCCGCATTGCATTGGCCCCGCGTGTTGGCTCAAGGTAGTTGTAGTTCTCTTCGTGTTTTCACTTCGTTGAGTGGAGGTGAACGTGTTCATAGTCAGGACTACAGATATCCGAGGCTCGCTTACGTCACAATGCAAAGCTAGCTATCCGTGGTCAGACAATGCATCGCTTTTTACAAAAAGAAGGTGCCATCATACGACTGTATTACTTATATTTATTGACACACTGGTTTAATGATAATAAAGTGGTATAACCTCACTTCACATGAGCCCTTCATTATCGGCAAATGCTACAAGCTAATGTCTGCTAGCGCAAGCTAATGTCCACTTCCATCTAACGTTAGCTGCTTTATTTGGAAGGAACATTTTTAAATAACACACGTGCTCCTTTTGACAACTTGCTTTTTTTCGGATGTGATTGTTGCCTCATAGACAAACGAATAACTCCCCGTAACGTTAAGTCTCCAAGGCATGTATTATGTTAAGTTAGCTTAAGTAAGGTCGTCTCGTCTGAAGATTAATCTCAATTAATCTTTGGCTGAATTTGTGACGTTTAACTGGCACAGACGGCAGATAACCCTTTGCCTAATTTGTTATTACTGTTTAGCGACACAAGGCGGACATTTTGGCCTCAGGGGAGCAGATTGGTAAAGAGGCAGCGCCCGGTTCCCAGAAATCAGCTGTGGTGTGTAGAGAGTCCACGTGAACAACAGAAATAGCCTCCATTAGGGGGCTAAAATGGCCCTTTAGAAACAGCCCAGGATTCCTTCCTAGTGCCTCCATCGTGATCGGAGGTACTACAGTGCTGTTTTTTTTTTCTTCATGGATGGGACTTCTTTTAAGAGCTGTTCTTGCAGTGATGCGCTTTACCAGCATGTCTTCCAGAGGTTAATTCGGGTCATTCAGAAGAGACGGACGCCTGCTGAATCTGTGACTGTGGAAGCAATACCTCCCACAGGCTTGTTTTTCTGTGCATGGTTTCTAACAACTAATGCAATCAAAGCTTTTTAGTTTTGAAAAATGAACAGACTGGTTCACAGCTGGGGATCAGACTCTTTTAAAATATTAAGCACAGGCTGGCAACAGTGCACGTAATGAGTGCCTTTGCGTTTTTTTGCGTGTTCCTGTTCAATAATTTGAACAGGAATTTTAACATTTCCTTCCTGGACCAGTGATCACGCCTCTGATTTGGCACAGACTGGTGAAGAGCTGAAATAACTTCCTTCCTTTGCTCTTTGGACGATTCCACAACTGTTTTTCCATTCGGTCGTTTTGCCCCCAAAGGTGTTTACTGTAGCGGAGAGTCAAAAGCTTCTCCCAAAAAATCTGTTCTGTTGACCCATGAGCCTCCAAGCTGAACCCAGTGTTGTGTTTACCCAGTCAGCAGGAGCGTGGGTTGCCCTTGACACTGGCGACGTGGTGCCTTTTCATAGGAGGTAGTAGACGGATAAGGCATGCAAAGGAAAGGAATATAGATTAGAAAACTTCAGTATTGTGCTACAGTACCTGTGTGCAGCCTTGGTTGCATAATGCGCTCAGCCAAACCAGCTGCACTCTACAAACACACTTCAAATGATAAGGGAAATTCTATATTTTTTTTTGTGCTTATTGTTTTCTTTTCCATCTTTTGTTTACAGGGGGGCCACATGGAAATGTGCATCCTTTCAGTGATGAGGATGCCTCCATTGAGACCCTCAGTCATTGCAGCAGCTTCAGTGACACCGCCAGTGTCGCAGATGAAGGTTTGTTTGTTTGTGTCCAATTGGTTGTATCCTACATCGTTGGGCAACTTATTGAGTGAAGCTGGCCGATGTTTCTTGAACACAACCTCCTAAAAGTTGTATAACTCTGGCATAGAACTGCAATTCGTCCATTTTTTTTCCCCCCCGAGACCAGTGGCTCGTATCAATACTGCAAAGCATATCAGGCAAATGTCCACATCTACATCTTGTGGCGTTTCCAGGTGGAGAGGCCAGTGAGGACACGGCTCAGGAAGATTTCCAGTACAAGCTGAAGGGCTTCATAGACAGCACAGTTGATAAGAGGTGAAAAATAAACTGCCTGCTTTTTAACAGTCAAGGTCCACTTGTTATCGAAGACTGCAAACAGTTCTTTTTGGCCCTTTCTAGTTCACTCCATCAAGCCACAACTGTTGTATTTCATTTCTGGGTTGTTAAAACTGCTGTAATCAGTTTAACTCATAGGGTCCTCATCCACCTATTGGCTAAACCAGAGGATATTTAGCACATGCACTTACCATGTGTTATTGCAATATTGATTTGTTTATATCCGTTTCCTCAGTGCTAAGACCAGACAAGGGGCACTGGATGGGCTTAAGACAGCAATGGCCACACGGATCCTGTATGAATTCATCTCAGAGAGAAGGATGACCGTCACGGACAGCATTGAACGCTGCCTTAAGAAAGGTACAAGGAAACCTCATTCAAATGTTCCTTCAACGGCCTCACCCCACTTCCTAATGCACAGTGGGGGTTTTTTAGGCGCCTTTTTCTAATCGGAGTTTGTCTCACGGTGCTGAAATTCTGGGTGTAAATTCTCCCCCTCAGGCAAAGGCGAGGAGCAGCGAGCAGCAGCTTCTTTAGCCTGCCTGCTGTGTATCCAGCTGGGCCCGGGCATCGAGAGCGAAGAGGTGTTCAAGACCCTAAAACCCATCTTCAAAAACATCCTGGCAGATGGATCCGCCAGCATTCAAGCCAGACAGGCTGTGAGTACCTGATGTACTGTAGCTGTCTTCTCCCTTTTTTCTTTTTCTTTTTTGAACCTGTATGCGCTGTGGAAAGTTACCTGAACAAATTTCTGTTTACCTTTTTTACAGGTTGCGACAAGTCTGGGCCTCTGTACTTTGGTTGCAGAAGATGACATTTTGGTATGTTTTTGATCTCTTCTGGTATTGTCTGCAACATACTGCCTTGACAGCATGTTGAACTCAAAACAAGTCTCTACCGATTGATTGTAAACATGTCATTTGAGACGACTTGTGTATCTCTGCTGCTTGCTCCCTCTAGGACGTGCATGCTAGCATGGAGTGCTTTGAGAACCTGTTCACCCGGTCCTATGCGAGGATGGATGGTACCTGTCCTCTGATCAGCCCCCAGATGAGCCAGCTCCACACCAACGCCTTGCTGTCCTGGGCCCTGCTGCTCACTATTTGCACCGCCAACCAGCTCAAAGACATCCTGCACAAGTAAGACACATGGTTTGAAAGTCTTTGGGAGCTTAGCATGAACTAAACATTATTTGGAAAAAAGATTAGCTCTGAAAAAATGCAAGAAACAATTTTTTGATCATTTGGATCGCATGTGTTTTTGTCATGCAGACATCTGCCTAAATTGCCAAGATTGCTGGAAAGCGATGATGTCAACATGAGAATTGCTGCAGGGGAGACGATTGCTCTGCTTTTTGAGTTGGCCAGAGACCTGGACTCGGTAAGTTAAAGTTCTTTTAATCTTTCCTTTTATTTCAATCCATTTGTCTGTCTAGTGTGGTACCTTCCTTCTTTTTTTTTTTCTTTCTTCTTCGTCATAAATGCAACAATTCTTTCGGTGGCACTTTTTTTTAGGAGTTTGAGTTTGAGGACTGGGAGCAGCTTTGTGATAAACTGAACGCGCTGGCCACAGACTGTAACAAGCACAGAGCCAAGACGGACAAGAGGAAGCAGCGGTCGGTGTTTAGAGACGTACTCAAGGCTGTTGAGGTGGGTGTTTGGGAGTCCTGCTGACCAGGCCTCGGTTTGCCTGCTTTTTCACTGACTTTTTGTTTCAAAAACAAATGTTATGTTGTTATGTTATGTTTCATCGGTCTTCGCCTGAACGCCTTCGAGTTAAAAAAAATCCAGACATTTATTTCTTTTTTTTCTTTTTTTTTTTTAGTTGACAGAAATAACTACTTCCGAAGACTGCGTTTTACTACTACTGCATTTTAAGATTTTTTTTTTTTTATTCTTCCAGGAGGGAGACTTCCAGTCTGAGGCCATTCGCTTTGGGACGGAGCGCATGACCATCGACAGCTGGGTCCGAAAGAGGATGTATGATGCTTTCAGAGAGTTTGTGGGCTCTGGGATGAACTACCACTTGCAGGTATTATTTATTAAGAATTCCCCTTTCAATGAGGACCAATATCAGTAATAAGACTCCACAACAAACCCCCAAATTTCAGTGCACACAAGTTGACATTTCAATTGCACTGCAGAATCCCGTTTGGGCGGGTTTGGTGTGTAACAGGAGCTCTTTTCTCCTGCCTTGACACAGCACTAAAAGACAATGAAGATCTGTGGGACTGCCTGATGCAAGAGACAACACTTGCGTCTTGATTTAGGATAATGTTGCAGATGAAAAAAAGTAGCTGGTTGGAAAGTAGTCGCCACTCTGGCTGGAAGCCAGTGCGCGTGGAAAAAGTGCAACATTTCGCGAGTGAACCTATTTCAGAGCAAAGAACACAAACGGTATCTAAAATTGGCAAGCTAGTGTCTCGCAGTTTTCGTGTGATGCTTGTATTGTGTTGCGCTGATGGTTGCTAGAAGTATTTTGTCTCATGTGTTTTTTTCCCTCACTTCTCTCAAGGCCAATGAATTCATCCGAGACGTGTTCGAACTGGGTCCGCCTATGTTGGTTGATTCCGCCACAATGAAGGCCATGAAAATCCCTCGCTTTGAAAGGGTATGTGTCTATATGCACACCAAAAAATGATCCTATTGTGTTTAAAAGTCTTGCATTTTATTTATTATTATTATTATTATTATTATTATTATTTTAAATCTTGTGGCATGACAAAGTTATCACATCAAACATACACTGTATAATTAATTAAATCTAAAACCACAATACGTCTTCCCTGTCTCTGTTACAGCATCTTCACAACTCTGCTGCGTTCAAGGCTCGGACCAAGGCCAGAAGCAAGTTCAGGGACAAAAGGGTGGATGTTGGAGAGTTTTAACTACATATATATATATATATATATATATATATATATTTCTTTTTTCCTCACTCTTAACACCTTATTTATCAGGCTTTGCTGCTTTTTAGGTTGACAGTCACAACTTTGTCCTTGTGATTCTCCCTCCAAATCAAACCATAGATTTTGCGTAGAGTGTAAATGTCTCCCCACGTCAACAGTGGCGTTGTACATGAAGTGTATATTTGTCAGTATTCTTGATGCAGCCTCTGTTTCTTTGAACTTAAAGTTATGTCGTTTCGTCAACATTTATCTTACACCATTTATGTGTAGTTTCATAGCGATGTGAAGACGCATGCTGTTACTCATCTAACCCCTTAATGAATTTATATTGTGTCACTACCATTATTACCAAGAGCAGGTTACTTCTGTAGAACCACTGTGAATATTGTGACGTCTTTTTAGTTTTGGGTATACAAGCAAAAAAGGTGATGGTGAAATAAAATAAAAGTGGAATAACTATCTGTGGTATTTCTTTATATTTAGCTGTACTCTAGCTGATACCGACCAAAGTTGTTCAAAGCCTTGACTCATACGGCAGTAGGATTTGAGGAAGTGACTTTAAATATCTGTCGACGAGAAGTAGAAGTAATTTGTGAGAAGTCAGTGCTTCCTGGCAGAGATACAGAGGTCATTTTCAGCAACGTTGTGGTTCAATTTTTATTTTGTTATTGCTACTTCCACATTTCAAGGTGAAGGCACTTGCAGCTAAGAGTGCAGTGGCATTATGGTGAGGCTGACTGAGCAGTACTCCCGCCTACATCGGTACGAGACTCCGTGGTGGAGCCTGTTTTGCCTATTAACTCCACAGGAAATCCTAGAGATCCAAGATGTATTGTGCATGTCTACCGCCATAAGAGGACTCTTGGGGGTGGCGCCTCTGCAGCTCCCTGACCTCATCGGGGCTGTGACCTGAGAGGCAAACCGAGGGGTCTACACAACCTCTGATTATTTAACTATTTAAACTTCTGTCAAGAGAGTTTCACTTCCATCTTTTTTTAGGTAATTTTGCTTGTTAAATACAATGCAATGTTTAAACTTGCTATTACTGTTTACTGCAGTCGGCATTCGTCATGAAAAACTTTGCACTTCAAAGCAAACATGAAGAGAAATTCTGTACGATGTATGTTCTCAACAACCATAACCAAGCGCTAGTTGGCAGTGGATTCAAATTAAACACTGCACTAAGGACATGCCGAGTCATGTTTCAAAGGAATAAGAGGATATTCTAAAAATACACTTGTGACTTCCGACATTGGATTCATGATAAGAAAACTGATCATTGTGCATTTTTTTATTGCACAGGTTCTTCCATGTGAGAAACTGCATTACCCCACGGCGCAACTACATGACAGATGGACGCTAAAGACACCTGCACAGCTGAGGGGAACTGATCATTCTCTGTGTGCCAAAAATATCGATCGCAGCGGCTTGAGATTCGATTCGTCAGAGCACACTAGATTAATACCTTTGTTGTTGATTTTCTGGTTTGAAATCCAAATTCCGACATTCAGGACTTTTATATAGATAACCCTTATCATTTGATTAAATCCTCTCAAACTTTGAGGGCACAAAGGAATATGCAGAATGCTAATTGCCAATTGTTATTGTTCATACTTCATCCCGGGCTCTTTGCAGAGAAAAACCATCAATTAATGGGGATTAAATGAGGAATCAAGAGATGTGGCAAGCTATCTTCAGTTCAATCAATAATTAGTTTCAGTGATGTGCCGTTATGCACTCGCGATGCTCTCAATGTGTCATGGACTTATTAGTTTAGTGGTCCCTTTTGGGAGTTTCAGGGGATTTTGCACAAAGCATGATATATGTCATTGTAGTTGGTGGGATTTCTTTAACCTGCGGGCGTGTGGAGCAGCAAAGCAGTAGGGTCAGATGGAGAGGCCGAGGCGCTCGCAATCTACTCCTGTTCTCCTCCTTCAGCCGATGGGCTTTTGGATCGGATGTTTGGGAATGAAATGAGCGTTTTGGCCTTTTTTCACCCAGTGTGTCACACCCATTGAAGCAAAGAGGGCCTATGAGATGCAAAAGGTCACCATACCTGTTCCAGTTGTGTGTTTCTGACGTCTTAGGAACTGTGTCCTCTTGCGCACACACACACACACGCACACACACTGACACAGTGTGTCTGCATATTTCTCCCCAACATCTCCCTTTTCTCCCTTTTCCTCGAACCCCCCCCCGGTCGAAATTATAATGATAAATGGAGAAAGAGATTAGTGCTGCTTTGTCTCCCAAATGACTGCTGTGTGCTCTCCATCCCAAAGCGCCAAGGGGACTTGTTGTTGTGACTGATGAAACGCCTACCTGCTCCTCTGATGACTTCAATTACGCCGCTTACATCTATCAAGACGATGATCCGTCTCGGCGTCGATTCTCCCCACGCAACGACCGCAAAACACCGCGGAGACCCCTCAAGTGCTTCAATTTCAGAAGACCAAATGGTATTGTTTGCTGCGTTTGTGCGACTGAATTTCACTGCACAGGCGATGACGCAACCCTTCGAAGCGCGCCTCGCCCTTCTGGTTGCTCCCTGGGGGAGAGCGTCGTCCATTGTCAGGTTTGCTGTGGGAGGGTCATGGAGTTGTGCAGAGGGATAAGTGGCGCACTGACACACTCCGGAGTCGGCCCCAGCAGCAGGATAATGGTAACCCCCGGAGACAACCGCTGTGTGTGTGTGTGTGTGTGTTTGTATTGACCACCTAGGTTTTATCCAACTCGACCAGTGTCGGAATATTGAGCTGCAGAACCGACACATAGGATTGGATGTTTCTTACCTGTTATTTAAGATTTTATTGTTCAGTACTTATTCACGTATTATTACCAGAAAATGTTAAAGTGTCCACTTATGAGCTGAGACATGGAAACAATGGGAAGACTATAGTATATAAATATATAAATACTTATATTAAGATATTCTCTGTTTTTCCAAGCGCAGCATATTGAGCCATATATCACCATGTTCCTGTTCCCAACTACCAATATCTAAACCATGTTAATGCATAGGCACACACTCAAGTTAGGGTTTGCTATCTTGGCCCAATGTCTTCACTATCATAGTGGGTTTGCACACACATTCATGTTAGTTATATATTATTCGTAGAATGTAGAATGTTTCTAATTACAGGCGTTTGGTCAAAATGTCTTTACGACGTCATGTCAATGGAGATAAGCTGCTATCCGGCTACAGAAGACAAGCGCCACGGTTGGTGTTTTTGGTCTCTTAGAGTGCGAGTTTAATAATCCAAAATCGTCCCGGGTGTGTTTGTCCTGACCGACACATCTGCTCCACGTCTTCATATCTGATGCTTTAACCCCTGTAGTTTACTGTCCATCAAATGCAAAGACATTCCTGTAAGCACATATTTACTCACACTTCTTCTACGTGAAGGAGAACCTTGCTGCAGAAGGACACCTCCATGCACGGAGGCCTGCACGCTTCAATATAAGTTTACTCCTTGACAAATGTCCCAGAGAGGAATACAAACCGTTTAGTCTGTGGTAAGTGGTTTACTCAACCTGTTATGGGTCTTTGTTATGCGCAATTTCCAGTCTCCTCAGAGCAATAATGAACGCACCGCTCACACGAGACATGAATACAAAAGGCTTACTTATCTACCGCTCTGAAGCAAACATTTGTGACATGCTGTTTAGTGCAGAGTTTTCACTTGCCACAGTGAAATTGTTTTTAGCCAGAAGCCACAAGTTTATTGATGAACTGAAATATACGGGCAAATCCCTGACGTCATTATGCTCACTTGGCTTTTGACATAACTGAGGACACTCTCAGAGGAATAATGATGTCAAGGTGGGTGTAATTTGAAGTCTCCACCAGGTGGTGGCAGTTGTTCACCATTAACCTGCCCGCCATGACGCTTGAATTGACAATCGGTCCCTCTGCACTTGCAACTGAGCACAGCTGATGATACCCAAGTTGAATTTTGAGTATAAAGCATGAACGACTTGGATTTAAATAGAAAAAAAACCCACTCCTAAATGCGAACACCTTCCCTCCGCCTGCTCATTCCTCATTTTAATTAAAATCACAGTCATTTGCCATCACCAAATTCCCTTCAATGTCCTTTTGTGTGAAATGGTTCAAATTCAGATGGAAAACGGAGTGGACGTACAATCCTCTACACCGTTGATAAAACATACACACTCTGAATTCCGCACCTCTCATTCATACCTCAGCAAAACAGAGCAGACTCTATATTATAGGGTGCAAAGCTGACACCATATGGAATGTGGTTGTGGACCTGAAACAGAGTCAAGAGGTACACATTTGTCGTGCTGGGCGCAGATGCATTGTAGCCCCCCCACACTGTGTGACTCACAGCTACACTGTGCACAATCACACAGGCACTCCCGAAAAATACACACATGCAGACGAGCGTGCATGTGCGCGCACGAGCTCCCTCTCCCTATGTGATGTAGGCCAGTGACAAACGCAGACCCCCATCAGGGCTGACAACTGCTCTCCGGATGATGCCACGAGAGAGGAGGCGGGAGGTCGTAGTTAGGGTGCCACAACAACTAGCCGTCCTGTTTCCGGCACGCACACAGATTCAGCACACGCACGCTCAACAGACTTTTTTGACAGACGCACGTCTAGACTTCAACCTCCAAATATCCCAAAACAGAGTCGACCCGCACTTGAATTTGGCATCTGAAGGCACGGCTGCACACGTGGCGGGTGGTGGAGGGGTGGGCAGGCTTTATCTCCTCGTACAAAGCGTTGACTCAGGGCCCGGATCGCTGTTGACAGGAAGGATGAGATAGTGGGAGCTAACAAGGAGGGGAACCCTGCTATCAGATGCTTGGAGGCACACTACAGCCTGTACAGCTCAGAAATAAGTCAGGGTCTTGAGAACTGGGGTTTCATGCCCATGCAATAAATATTAGATTACAACCTTCGAGGTGGTTAGCTGGGCTTTAAACGTCCAGGCAGATATTATGCTATGCTAAGATGAGCAAAGTTATTCCAGCAAATGACACCTGATAAAACCTTTGCGTTAACACTTTTTTTTACATCCATACAAAATCCAAAGTAATACTGGAGTTTCTGAACTTTTGTGCTCCTGTGTGGAGTATTTTTTACTTTTGGACAAAGACAGGCCAGATGTGTGCAGGCTTTGGTTGGTAATATCAAAGGCTCATTTCACCCTTGAATTGAAATGTATTATTTATCGAATATATAACTTAAGATGAAGGCTAATTTCCTGTGAAGTAAAGGAGATGACAGGAACCACGCGTGCTGCCTCAGCGCTGCCCCTCTGCAGCCGCTCCCTGGCTTTTGAAGTGCTATCTATGCTGGGTTTCTTTTGACCACGGCGCAATGTCCTGCAGGAGGCTGCTAGTCTCACAGCGTATGTATCTACCACTGTGCTTAGTTTCTATCTTTCAACTTATTGACTCAACAAAGCAGTTTTTTGCTAAAATAT